GTGAAATATCAAGAGAACCAGCGACCGGAAGCGTCTGGCCCTTGCCGTTCCGCGTCTAAGGGTCGCAGAAAAGGACTCCCACAACATTCTAGCCTGCAAGACGCGAGAAGGGTTTAAATCGTCACACCTTATAGGTGCAGGGAAAACAAACTACCAGGGCTGGACACACCACAACACGACCTCAACGCACGTTTGACCAGACATAAAACAACCCGACGTCTTGATGGGTACATCCACCACCGCCCAACGCGACCTGCCGCAATACCATGACACCTCCAACCACCACAACCATCTACGACCAAAATGGAGTCCTTCTCGGGAACAATCGGTCAGGGCCGCCCAATGTCTCTCTCATGGCTCGATGCACATTATTATCGGAGGTCGCTTCCACCACGGCGACAAGAACTCCGGCGCCTCCCACCACACCCCTCTAGCTGTGTTGAGTGCCGGGTCTGCCAGGAGGCCATCGCGGATGGTCGTGTCGATCATTTCCCGCACATCTTGGGGCAGGTGGGGGCGGAAAACATCGTTGCCGTCGTTGATTCTTGCGCCGCCCGCGCCCCCGCGTTGCACCAGAGGCGACCACAGGAGCGGGCATGCGAGGAGCCGGGACACGGTGTCGAGACTCGGGCGCCTTAGCGGGTTCGCATTCAGCAGCGACAGGAACGCTTGTGTGACCTGAGGTTTTGTGAATCAGGCGTGAGGTGTTTGGTGATGCTGACGTATTGGAGTCAGTCGTGTTTGCAATCAAACGTTGGGGGTGGGGGCGGAGCAAAAAACGAGAGAGACGGGAGGGTTTGGGGGCTTTCATGGTGAAAACAACAACTCATGACTTAGTCACCCAGTGGCTCCACGGTCACTGCGGCCAGCTCAAGTTTCGCCGCTTCAAACACTCGAGGCCGACGCTCTGATTTGCTGGATGCTTCACGTGTTGTCATCGATCTAGCCTCAAAATACACAACTTTCTGGTTTTCAGCGGCTTTACCGGCTAGACTAGGCTGTGAGACAAATCACAAGAACTGCAACCAATCCCTTGAGCTCTCCGAAGGGTAGAAATCATCTGCCCTAGAATCATGGGATGTCCACACGAAAAGGACGTCGTTTCCACAAATCATGGGATTCCACCAGAGAAAGTCGTTTCCGCACTTTCGACCCCCCGCCCCACTCACCGACATCGCCGCAGAGCGGTCTGTCGATATAGTGATGCACGAGCAAAGGCCAGGCATCCACCCACAACAATAAGTGCATCAACATAATAGTATTGATAGGCGCGAGCTTACTTCATCTTCCCTATGCAACGCCTCTCCTCTGCCCAACTCAAACGAGCTATGGCACGGGCGAAATGCTCACACCTCTTCCTGGAAGAGCAGTTCCCCCGACTGGTTCCACTTGCTCGGGTTCAGGATGGTCCTGCGGAGGTCTCCCATCTTGGCGGGCTGAGCTGCGTAGTTCACCTGAGCGGATGGATGCCATGCGCGTTGTCATGACATGGAAATACTTGAGGTGTCAAGTCCTGCGTTTCTTGGGTTCTACTCGGATCTTTTGAGCCAAACGTCAGCCAAGTGTCCTTGTATGATGAATACAGTACTGTAGTTCTCGACAGGGGCGGGGGAGTTTCGCTGTCCTTGCAAATATCACATCAGTATTGTAGACGCGGGCATGGCACAAACGAGAGGGTGCTGGTGTGCCGGGTGATGAAGGATCGTTACATACAGACGCATGCCGGTCGCCCCGGTGGTCTAGTTGGTATCCCCGAAACCTTCTAGAGGTCAGGTCAGGCGTTCGAATCCCGGCGTAAGCGAGCTTTTCTTGCAAAGTGAGTTTTTCTCTCGCTTCTGCTCCTGGTCTAGTGGATAGCGCTAGTTCGTGTGTACACAGAGGGAAGAGATTGCTGAGCTCTTCTCGCATTAAAAATCGAAGGCAAAGTACCGCAGGAGGGGAGGGTAGAGAGGGGCTCTTCTGTGCGACCACGGGTTGGAGTAAACGGCACTAGTGCTGTGAGCGCTGATGTGAAGTGAAAAAACAAAAACAAAAAACA